GCTTCTGCCTCAGCCCCCTTGCTGGCCAGTTGGCCTCCCATCTCCTGGCCCCATGTTGTCCCCTTCAGGTCACCCGAAGTGTCAGAGAAGAACTCTCATCTTAAAGAGGATGGCAAGGGCTAACCTGTCACCTGTCACCTATCCACAGGTGTAGAAGAAGACAACGAGCCTCGATGGAACAGAGCGAGATGCATCTCTGGGTTGGTCCTCTGCCCCCAAGGGACACTGGGCAGGACCATGGGCCCACAGTAATTCTGGTAGCAAACAACAAACGCGCCAGGGCCCTCGGGAGCGAGCAGCCCATGGTGGTCACCCTGACCCACTTGCCTAGGGGACCGGCTCAGGGTCCGGGATAGTCAGGCACAACCAGCAGCACACGTGGGGATGTTCAGGGTGCTTAGGCCGACTGCCTCTCCCAGCCCAGGGGCACTCCTTCCAGAGAGGGAGGGACTTTCTCTCCTTGACCCTGCAGATTCCCCCTGGAGAGGGGACAAGAGCCTGAGCACTAGCTGGGGAGGCAGCAGGGTGAGGGAGAAGGTATCGTCGTGGAGAAGAGCATAGGGGATGAGGAGTGGCCCCCCGCCCCAAAGATCTATTCACATCCTAACCCTGCAACTTATGAAAGCGACCTTATTGGCCAAAGGGTCTCTGCAGATGTAATTAAATGAAGCATCTCGAGGTGAGATCATCCTGGATCATCCGGGTGGGCCCTAACCCCAGCGACAAGTGTCCTCACAAGAGACGGAAGAGGAGACACGAACGAGAAGGCAGAGGCACAGGCTGGAGAGATGCAGCCTCCAGCCACGGCGAGCCTGCAGCCGCGAGTGATCTAGACCATTCTCGTCTGGAGCCTTTGGAGGGAGCGTGCACGACCCTGCCCACAGCTTGATTTGGGGCTCCCGGCTGCATAATCGTGAGAGAACCCATTTCTGTTGCTGGTCATTTGCAAGAAGAGCCCAGGGCTTCCCGGTCAGATAGCTGGGCTTCAAATCTTGACTCCCCCTCACTTGCTTGTGACGTCAGACAAGTCACTTGGCCCTTCTTTTATTTTTATTTTTATTTTTAAAAGATTTTATTTATTTATTTGACAGAGAGAGACACAGCGAGAGAGGAAACACAAGCAGGGGGAATGGGAGAGGGAGAAGCAGGCTTCCCGCCGAGCAGGGAGCCCGATGTGGGGCTCGATCCCAGGACC